ATATAAAGTCAAGGATCTTTGAAAACGCGAGTAGTGACAATCTAACCGACAGACAATGCGGAACGAACAGGCGGGGTTCGGCGACTAAAGCGCGGAGTGCAAAATCATCGAGGTATCGTGGCTACGCGATATTCGCATACAATACAGCAGGCACTGCATCGGGAGGACAATGGTCCTTTTTTCGTTCAAATGGGAACAAGGGTGAAGGGAGAGCAACGTGGCGTGCGGCGTTAAAGGGAGGACGGACGGCGCGCGTGTACGAGGTACGTGGTAACGTAAATCATACCTCGAAATAGATTCGAACGGTCGATCATGGATTGCGATGTTGGCGTGTCATAAACGCTCGAGTATAAATCCGATTCGCTCTGAAATCTTATCTAAAGCTGAGCGTTACGTGCTAAGCCTGACTCACGGTTACATGCAGATTAGTACTTTCAGCGTCGTTAACGGCAACAGCAACGTTTACAAACAATCTTCACAAATGCAACAATAATCTGCAGCTTTTCATATAATAAGTAATCTAAAATCTCTCATATATGCAGATACTTTACAACAGGGGAAATTTGATATTAATTTTTCCGGAAATCGGAGATTTTAAGTACATTTAATAATTTAATTAATTTCCATGTGATTGTATTCCGAAAACTTTTTATTGTATATTTCCGCAGATATAAATCAAATAAATCAAACGCAGTGATTTTATTTCATTTTATTTTATTGTTATTGCACGTACAAGGTGACCAACAACGATGGCGATTTTCCAGATGATACGACCTTCGTTTAAACAAAACGCTTAATCGACGAGTGGGAACGGCGCGATGAAATCGTGATCAGTACGCGCAATGCACCAGCAATCATTGCGCTCGCGATTCGTTTGCTAAACGAATTTGGAAAGAGGACAGACACGAGTATTGTCCGACGTTGCTCACGTTAAATACGTCGGTTTAATTACCTATTGAACGCTGTAAACGAAGTTTGGTCGTACATATGTTGACAATGGATTCGTTTACTCGCGTACATAAATCACAGCGATGTCCCGGATTATATCCATTACGATTATGAAATTTTATCACTTTTACATTATTACGGACCTTATTAACAGGGCGGAAGCTATAGTTCAATGATATTACCATCATATGTTAGTAGATAAAATGAAAATTTCAATTTTCATTAGGTGTCACTGGTTTCAATTAAAATAGGATTTTCAATTTCCTAATGGAATATCAATTAGGTACCAATTTTCCAACGACAACGTCCTACTCCCGTTTCGCTAAGGGAAAATCCTGATTTCGATTCCGCTTTAATTACATCTGCCCAACACTGATTGCCTATTATGTGCTTCTAGACGAGTCTAACAAGCTTCGAAGCTCTCTTCGCGAAGAAAGCTTTTTAGCTGCAGCATTCTCGATCTCCAATCACTGTATTTAGCATCGCTGGTATATGTTTTACAATATCTTGCAATTTAATAAGTTACAGTACATGTTACAGAAATTAATTTGACTATAATTTAAGATTCAACGATTTTTTATTCATTTTTGATCCATTGGTTTTTTAAATTAAAATTTGATGACAAAATTATGAGAATATTCTTTGCAATTTAAGCTTTTTCCAAAGTAATATTATTAATATTTACTGAAATTACCTAATTGGAACTTGTAAAGTCAATTTCTTTTTGTTTAGAGAAAGAGAATTAATTTTTAACTTCAAATGCCCAAAAATTTTTAATAGAAATCTACGAATATATAATAAAATAATACGTTCTTAACTGGATATAAGAATACGTCTCACTTTTAATCGTTAATGTTAAAGCAAGTCAGGTATCTTATAAGAGATTTCCATAATTCGGTGAATGAATAAAATATTGGCCGCGAGGGATCTTCCGGGGATTTTTCACAGCAAAGATATTCATCCTAAAATCTCTTGCGCGTGATATTCTCATTTAATTCGATCTTTTAATCATCTTCTTCATCAGATCCGATGGATTAGTGACGACCCGAAATCCCTTATATCATGGCTGTTATATCTCGGATCTCGGTTTCCAATCTGCTTCCCAATCTCGAGGAACATCATTCGTTGGTACTCTCTCGAATTCCAAGGCTTCTCGATTTCGTTGCCTTTGAGTTTATCGAGCGGATAGAATGTCTGTGTATGCGCTGTATCTATTTCGCGATCGCTCGAGCTGCAAAAATTTTATGTGGAAACCACTCACGAGACATGATATTATAGTCTCTATAATAGCCCGTCTCAGAGACGAACTTTGTAGTTCATAGGTGAGAGGCGAACAAGTACGAGAATCGATCGCGTCTCAATTCGAACACAAGTGATTTTTTCGTCCTACGTATTCTTAATGATTATATTTAACGTGTACATGGTACATAGTTTTTATTTGCTGCACAATATTATAAAATTTAAATTAATGCCGTTGTAAAATAATCAGTAAAATTAAGATGAAAAATAACATAGCTGTCAAAATAAAATATTTAAAGAAATTCAAGTTTTAATCGTTACTTGTAACTTTTTTTATATTATTTCTCGATTGCTTTTCAAATCATATGTCATAAAACTGTTATTATTTTTTACGAATAATTACTTTTTTCTTAATTTTTCATTCTTTCTTCTTTTAAAAAAATATTTTAAAAATATCTTTTAGTTTACACATTTTATATAAATAACTGTTATAATTAGTTCTTTTATAGATAAATATTTGATGAATAATTATGTATGAGTACATTCTAAAAATTGAATAAAAAATTATAATATAATTTTAGAGACTTATCTTTTATTTTGGTTGTAGATATAAATCGCAAAGGAGGCAAAGAGAAAAACAAAAGGGAGTGAGTAAGAGGAGAAGAGAATGTTGCAGTCCTTATCGGTGAGGGGCAACACGTAGGTCTAATTAACTTCGCGTCGGTTCCAAGGATTTAATCCTGCGGAAAACTGTGCGCTCCGGAAGGAGAAAGCGTTAAGACTCTGCATCTTTCGCAATTCCATGAAATAGTTCTCAAACAAATTGAAGATTTTCAAAGAACAAGCGAAGTGAAGATGTAGATTTAATTTTTCCGCCATCATCTGCTCTGTCGCAATAAACAGTAAATTTTTCTAGTCTAGAAATAAGATTAGGTAGATATCGTGAAACATAATCGAGATTTTCAACAAAGATACGCTGTTTTATTAACTTCTGCACATAATTCTGCGCAAAGTACAAGAAAACAAGATTAACTACAAGATTAAAATTAGACTAACTACCAAGACATTGATAATATCTTATTCCATATAAATAAAAAAAGGAACTGGAGTATAATTAATTATGAAAAAACGAATCTCCTTATTAGAAGCAGACTAACAAGGGAAGTTTCACAACTGTCCGGAATCGATTTGAATCTCCATGAAATATGTTGTTAAACACGAAAATCTAGACACGTATTTTTTTATACGTGTCTCTTAGATTTTCGTGTTTAACAACATATTTCATGGAGAATCAAATCGATTCCGGACAGTTGTGAAACTTCCCTTGTTAAGTACGCTTTACTGATTACACTGTTTATTCTACTTAATTATCGAAAAATTAATAAAAAGAACCTAGCTATAAAGTTAGTGTAGTAATGTCTCATGTAATTTTGATAAATGCAATACTTTTAAAAAAAGAGAGAAATGTATTACAAAATTTATATTCATGATGGCTGTAAAATTTTTGTATATTTTAACAGTTTCGCTAAAATTTAGGTCGAGCATCACGTCAATAAAGAAAGGCATAATTATTTTAATAAAATTCGTTACTTTTTGATTCGTTATGATAAGGCTATATCGATCATTTTTTCATCAACGATTAATTATAATCATTACTTATTTTAATTTAATTAAATGTTATTAATATGATGCATTTTTTTTCCAAAAGAAAATCATTATAAGAATAATAAAAATGTAATATAATAATTGTAATAATTATAATTGTTATATTACCTCGACCCTCTTTCTTGCATAATTAATATTTAAACATTATTAAATTTTCTAAATAAAGTTAGAAACCTTATAATATATTTTTTAATATCTTTTTCTGCAAAATATAATACAGAAGAAAATAAAAGAATAAGAGAAGCATTGATTTTCTTCTGCTGTTGCACTTTATTTTGTAGAATGAGATATCAAAAACATTTTATAAAATGGATTACTTTTATACATTGTATTATAGTTAGTACATAATTAGTTTGAAATAGCAAATTGTCTCGCAAATAATTAGTCTTTCAACATGCGTGTTATTTTACTTTTAACGTCAACAACTGCGAAATGCGACTAAATCATAAAACGACACTTGCTGTTCGTTGACAAGTTGAATCGAAGTTAAAAAAGTAATTATGCGATACATACGTGGATACATACGATTTCACGAATTTAATATTCACCGATTTGTCGGTTTAAATGTAAACGTGTTATTTTCGGGTGGTATGCGTTTATCAAGCCGCATAATTGCTTGCGTTCTCATCGTTCTTCTCTACAATTAACCATTTAATTTATCGCGACAACGAGTGAAACGTTTGAGCACGCTATTCCGATGATGGTTACGTAAAACGGATGGACATGTTAAAGCCCGAGCAAAGGTAATTTATCGAGCACTTAGTCCCTACAGTGACGTCATTTCTCGGAGCGTGAAAGATAATCTATCATTGTGTAGCCAGACAATCGTGGATCAGGATTTGCTTTCACGATTAAAACAGTTCATTAAGGTTGAAGTAAGACGAATTACTAGTCTATAGCACATGATCAATATATTCGTCTAAAAAAGTACGATTTAACGATTAGTTGGATCACGGAATATTTCTTCTGCAAGTATTTCCATAGATTTGTTGTGAGAGTATTATAAAATATATAAAGAGTTTCCATCATTTCAAGAAATGTAAGGTTTAATATTAAAAAAACTTTTTTTTCAATATTTTAGGAATAGCGTTTACGATATTGCAACATTTCGAAAACTAGGCTTCAAAAATTTCGGTATGGATACTTACTTATATTTTTATCCCTGTATTGCGGCCGCGCATCTCCAATAAAACAGACGAAAAGCACCCACACTACGAACCAGCACGTTCCCATTTCGACCTGAAATAAGAAGCGATTCTGAATAGATTTAATTAAAAATTCAATGGTGCGGCATACAGCGCTTTAGTTTCTTTACGACTGCAATATTACCGCAGCTTTGTTCGATCTTTTATTCTTAAGTAAGGCTATCACGATGCTACGCAGTAATAACATAAAATAAATATCATAACAAAACGAATTTAATTTTGTATGAAATTAACAGTTCTTGAATCCTTTTTTACTTAATGTAGAATTCTTAAGAGTTTATGAAATGATTTAGTTGGTTGTATCAAGGTCTTAGAAACTACTTTAATTTTCAGTTAAGGTAGAATAAAATAGAACAGGATCGATATATATGTATATATAAAGCAAGTTTGTGTTCACAATAAATTTTGGTGGCTTTTGCTTGCTCGGAAGGAGTGTCGTCGTTTCCTTAAGGAAACTTATCGTTTCCTCGTTGCATTTCTCCCGATTCATTATTGTTCTTGCGGCGAAGTTGTTCCGTCCAAAAGAATAAGCGCGCGCGCGCATTTTAATTTATAAAAGTTCTATTACAATTTAAAGTAATTGAAGTATACGAGATGTCTTTGATGCAACAATATCGTTCAATTGTTCCACTACTTTTAACACAATAAATCTTTAGTAATTGTATATCTTTGACAACTTTCATGTACGATTGTCATTGTGCAATTTCATGCAAGTTTAATTTTACCATTACAACAAATATATACGCTTGCATTCTGTAGTTCGAGGAGAAGATCGATGGTTGCATTCGCACGTTTCTGTAACTACGTCGAATCATCGATCCACCTCGTAATCGCTGAAGGGATAATGCTCCTCAACCGTCGAGACCGGAGACGATCCTTTGTGGCAATTGCGCGGATAATCGAAAACCGAGAGAAAGAGATACGGAGTATAGGATTCGCTGCGGTGGAGCACGGTTGAATATTTCCGGGTTTCCGGCGGGCGTGCACGGAGATGTTATAAAATATTTCTTTGAGGATTTCGACTGTAAAGATATATATTTTATTCGACAAGCGTTTCTGCGCAGCACGTATTCGGATTTCTACGTCAGTTTCCGCGAATATTATTCGCGAACCGAGCGTGGAAAAGTTCCCTCTGCGTGAAATGACGACAACGACAACGACGACGATTGCTACGAAATTAACGAGATTTCGTTGTCACGATAATACCAGCGTGCTTTTGCGTGCGCATTTTATCGTTATTTTCGAAAGAATGCGCGCCGAACGTTCTCTTCTCATTTCTCTCGACGTAATACCGGACGTCAACTCGAAAATGTCAATCGTTTCCAGACGGTTAAAATCATCCAACAAATTGCTGAGGCAAAGATCCGAAGATATAAAAACTACCACTGACATTAACGATCACGTTGGATTTAATAAAAATTTTCTCTACGCGCGTCTTGCCTCTCATATTTATATTAAAATAATTGTCAGAACACATTTTTATTTATGAAGAAGGCACGTTCGATTAATTAAAAAATGTATTACGTTAATTTTTTATTTAAATCTAATCTTATCTGCATTCTGTGTATATTTAATTTGAATAAGGATTAGCGTATAAAACTTTCCTTAAAAATACAATAAGATCAAAAACACACGTATTGTTATCGGCATTTTCGGAAAACGTGGAGTCGTTTTCGCGTTTCATCCACTCACATACATTTCGTGAAGGAGCGAGCCAGAGTGTGTCCGAAGGATAGACATCTCCTAGCTCGAATGGTGGTGGGTATATATTCTTTCCGAAGGCTTATCTGTCGAAGGAGATGCCCTTTCCGAGGAAATCCCCAGAGGAGAACAACGTAAAAGTTCCTACACTCCTTCGAAAGGAAAACATCGTCTAGTACTCGGAGTGCAGGTCTTCTTCTCGACCCCAGGATCATCTCGACCAAGAGAGTACACGAATACACGTGACCTCGCGTACGCATGTACATTCACACGCACCCAACGACAAAATGACACTCACGCGCGAAGTGGTAACTTCCACCTTCGAGGATCCTTCGAACCTTCATCGATCACTATATACCTGCCGGGGTCAACTTCTTCACGTATCTCGTTTCATGGTTAGCCGGCTCGAAAATATTCCCCATCCCTTTTCATTGCGACGGAAAAGGGTGACTTTAGTGCCGTTACCGGGACGCGAAATTTAGATCCCGTTCTATGGAGGTAAATAAAACGTTCTCGGGTCGCCGGATCATTGAGTTTCTGAATCCTTGGATTTGCTGATCCTAGGATTACTTGTCGCGTCGTGAATAAAATATGTACATTCGAATCATTGTAGCGATCAACTTCTTGAGAATGAAATAACGCTGTTCGATTATTCAAATGTATTCATATTTGAATTATTCGAGTTTAACTCTAAATAGGATAGTGTGATTCTCTTCATTGTATTTACTTAATATAAATTTTCAATCAATATTCTATCAAATTGAAAATTGAAAATTCCACTTAAACAGTATATTCATATTAAAAGCAACTTTACTAGTAACTATTGTAATTAATATTTCGTTTAAGTGTTTAAGTACGTTCTTAGTGCTTACTAAGATTTGGAAGCGTATAATTTTAGTAAGTATAGTAATCAGTGCTGCACATACCGACATACTTTGCATGTAGATATATATTCGTAATACAATGTATGGTATATCAAAACGTAAAATATATTGTAAGACATTATATATATAAAACATCAAAATAGTTACAACAATCATCTTATTTAAGAATAAAAAAGTATCTTGATGAAAGAAAGAGATAAATAAATAATAATAATAATTTTTCATATAAATAATTAAACAACATTTTCTGGCCAATTTTTTAGAAGCTATATATATAATTTTAAAAATATCTGGTATTAATAAAAAATAATGAACTTAATTGCAAACAACAAGAGTCTTCAGAGGAGAGAATAAAAGTTCAAGCGTGCTTGAATTGTATAAATCTCGAATGAAAACAAGTGATGAAGGATAAAGGAATTGAAGCGCTGTCAATAAAATCGATGAAAGGAGAAAGATTTGCGAGACGAATTTCCACAAGTGACCTTACTGGGTCCAGCTGAGTAATAATTAGAGCTCTTTGTCACTGAAGTGCAATAAGACCACCAGTGCTTCTACAAGAAAGCCCTCCGATCACAATTTCTTCGCTAAGCAACTCTTTAGAGATTAAACTAGATTTCCATTCACACATTTAAAAAAAATGCACTTTCTTGAAGAGTGAGAAATGATGATATACTCACAACACATGTATCTACGTATTTATATTCATCCTTCAGCAGTTAAAATAACTATGAATTTTTGAAATAGAAGAATTTAAAATCCGATTTTAATAAAACTATTGATGTATTGATACTTCCGATTCATTAAAATCTTTTTAATACAATATTGATCGTAAAATATAAATTACTTAGCTTGATTTTAATTCAATTATGAATATCAATTTTTTGAGTCTATAATTAATATAATATGGTATTAATTATTCTTAAATCAAAATCACAATGGGAACAAGAATTTTGCAAAGTTTAGTAACTTTAGTTAATTCGGATAACACTAGAGTAAATGCGATGCGTGTGAAACAATAGCCATAAAATAAGCGGAGAGATAAGAAACAAAGCAAAACAAGAAATACGACAAGACACATCTGGTACGTTTTTAAGCTGGGCAATATCTCATAAAGGAAATAAAATTAACAAACAAATAAAATTATGAGATTTTTTACAGTTACTAAGACAATCTTATTTGTTTAATCATACAAGTATTAACAGCGAAAAGATCTTAATTTATTTTTATAACTTTAATAAAATTAATAAAATTGTTCATACGCATTTACTTTCATTTTGCTACTCTCTAAAATTTGATATTGAAATTACGCAATGTAACGAAAGGCGACGAGATGTTATTGTTTCGCAAAATAAACCATAAAGTAAGCAATTTCCTCGTTAATCGTGGGATTAGAAGATTATTAACAATAGCATGGCAGCAATAATCATAATAAATAGCGCTAGCTAACCCAGTAATATTGTAGTAGAACAAATATCCGGGAATGACTTTCCCGAGCTGCGAACGATATTAAAAGTTATTAATGACGGTCACGGCAACCTCCGTTTCGCTTTATCCCTGAGGAGAGACGAGAATTAAGGAAGGTACGAACAGACGGAAGGATAAAACCAGAAAAAGATAAAAGTTCAGTTTTCTTCTCTCGTAAAAAGTTCTTGCGTCTTCTCTCTCGCGGTAGCATTTCTTTGAGAACATCCGTATACTTACTACGCTACACTATACTGCAGTTCTCGTTATTATCTCACCGCTGCCATAACGTCATTCTTAAGCTTCGCTATCGTCCGTCTGCTTTGTTGTTATTGCGCGCCGGAAGCAACGTTAAGCACAGAGAATAAATATAAACGATTGTCGGAAAGAAAGAGAAAAAAGGCGAAAATAGCCACCTACATTTTTGCGCCGTAATCGTCTCGAACTAGAAAGCTTGCAGGACGACAATGAACGCGAAACTGTTTATGCACAATGGCATCGTTACCCTTCACTTTCTGACGGAAAATTGTGTAGAGGAAGGCAAACAGAAGAGGTCTCAAGGGATCGATATATGATGAAACATTAAGATTAGCTTTCACATATAGAAGTGCATTAGTTACGAACGGTCTAGTATCTTTACATAGATTCCACTATGGCAGCGGCGATATAGTCATATTTTCCGGCACTTTAGATATACATATATTAAATAATACACAAAAAATTTACTAAATTTTAATAAATATTTGTTTAAATAGTATTAACTAAACATTTACTTATAGTAAACAAATATTTACTTAATAAAAAAATGATATCTGAATCAAATTAATGGTTATTGTATCAAATAAATACATGTTTACATTTAGTAAGTATTTAATTAATACTATTTAAAAAATATTTATTAAAATTTAATAACTTTTTTTAGTGTGGATATACAATTATAATGATTGGAGCTTATATATTGAAACGCGTTTAATTTTAAGAAATTCTG